GTGTGTGTGTGTGTGTGTGTGTGTGTGTGTGTGTGTGTGTGTGTGTCTGCACCTGCTGCTGTGGCAGTGTGTATGCAGGGAGACGTGTCGTGGTTCTGTCTTTGCGTATCACAAATCTAAACCGTGGATGTTTTGTTTGGAGAATTGTTACAGTCCTATATTTTATCATGCATGTCTTGCAGGTACAATTGCTTTTAGACACATCAATGTGTTAAAAATCTCAGCTGCACAACTCTTTATGATGAAACATGATTTCATAAATATATATTAAAACTTTGTGGCAGGGTTTAGCGAGCTGCTTGTTTCCTTTGCTCTGAATCTGCAGGTATGCATCATCCTTTGCATCCGTTTGACTTCTGCACATTAATGAGCTGTCCACTGTGCGGATGTAAGCAGGAAGCTGATTCACTATAGTTGAACTATTTCTGGACACAGCAATATTTTCACCTCTCTTTCTCAACACAGGGTCTGTTGTGATCATTCTATTTATGTTTCTATAAATTCTCAAATGCTCCATTGAACTATGATCACACACAGCAGAGCCATTCATAGTATCGTTTACATAAAATGCACACAAGGACAAAACCAGGCCTGGAGCAGAGTGGGGTTTATGATGATCAGCCATGTACGGCTGTAAGAATATAGGATTATTGTGGTGTTTTATGAAGAGAGGTGCTGCTTCAGGGGGAAACACAGTCAACAGTTCTGCTTCTTAAAGAGCTGTAATCAGTCAGTTTATAACTGTGAACTCCGTAACACACAAATGCCTTCAACACAAGATAATCCATCACATGGTGTCACATGAACTCAACACATATTTACATGAACAGGGCAGAGATGTTGTAAAAGGTGGAAGTTGAATTTCATCCTCTGTTTTGTCCAGCTGGGGAGTTCCACTGATCATCACTGTTGCAGCCGTTTGCCTGAACAAGATCGGCTACGATGCGTCCGAGGTGTCGGTGGGCTGGTGCTGGGTCAGAATCCATGCCCCGGACCGGGTCCTGTGGATGCTGCTGACGGGAAAGATCTGGGAGTTCCTGGCATACCTCACCCTCCCTTTCCTCTACATTCTGATCAAGAGGCACATCCACATTGCGGTGAGGAGCAAACCTGGTTTCAGCCTAATGGATGGTTTTACTTCCTGCAGAGTCAATTCACTGCTACAGCTCTTCTGACAACTGCAATCTGCATCACCAGCAGAATCATACACTTATTTTATTTTTCTCCCTGCATGAAAAACCCCTCCAGAACTTAACATATGAGTCAGTTAGTAATCACAGAACTATACAAATGTGTGTCAGATTTTTTTTTTCATTCAGGTTGGTGTAATTGGTCAGAAGCAAACTAAAAATAATTTATTAAGTCTCAGTTTACTTGTTTTTCTTTTTACATTTTTTTATCCCAATGCTGCAGGTTTGCTCAAATAGCTGTGGTTAGGAAAATTATCTGCTATCCTTGTGATGATCATTTTTAAATGTTCTGTGTGACGCAGCACGCAGCCCTGTCAGAGTACCGTCCCATATTGGCCAACAGGCCTCCATCCAACTCCTTCTCCTCCATGGCTGACAGGAAGCTAACGCTCATCCCTATTATCTTCATCGTCCTGCGGATTTGGAGCACCGTGCGCTTCATACTGCTGCTGGTGGGATCTTCAGCCAGACAGAATCCAGTGCTGGTCACTCTACATGTGAGTGTGCATCAAGGTTCTTTTAAAGCACTGATGTCTATTGGAGATATCTGTGAATCTCCTATATTCTAAATGTTTATTCTGCAGTTAACTTTTCCTGTTATCACACATCCATCAAGAATTGGATATTTTATATTTTATTATATAATAACTATGTTAACAATAGAATCACACTTAGAGAGCACCTACCTCCACTAAGGCCCAGCAGTCCCCTTATCAAACCAAACCACATTTAATTCCATCAGATTCAGATTTAAATTTTGATCTGCTTCAAATTGCACCAACTCATAAATATCTGTCCCCTAAACATGACAGTTTTTCTTCTCATCAAAATCCAAGAATTATTCTGAGCAATGAAGGAAAATGTTGAAATAGGTTTTACTTCTAATCCTGATATTGTAGAATTATTATTATGATACTATTCTAATATCTTTTTAATATCTCATCGTCAAATTATTATGTTTTTTTTACATTTTCAACTCATTGAGAGACAATTTACTGCTACACTGCTCTAATTGACTTTGACCCAACAGGGTATTGGCAACACGTCGCAGGGAGCAGCAAACTGCATCATGTTTGTGTTGTTTACTCGACCAATCCGCACACGCCTGTGCTCTGCGCTCTGCTGCTGCTGCTCCCGGTGTCGAGCAGAGGTGAAGCGCTCACATGACCCCTCTCAAAGGCTGCTGCCAGACCAGGAGGCCTCCACACAGAGAGAGGAGGACAACACTAGCAAAGCCGAGAATCAAACATGATACTTGATTCTGTGGACGAGAGGACGGACACAGGTTGATATAAAGAAGGTAGTGGGTGGCCTCGCCCACGCTTCACACTGAAACTCATTAGAAACGAGCGCCTGCAGAGCGGGCTGGGGATTCTGCAGGCGCACACACGTGTGTCACATGGCTGCACTTTGGGTGATTAGGAGGAGGCTGATGTGATGACTGTGCACCAGCATTTTAGTTCCTCCTCCACATGAATTTTGTTCTGTACATCAAACTTTATGTTGAAGTTTTTCTTTGTTTATTTTGTCTTTTTGCATATTTTAAGAAAAATGGTTCACATCTTCCACACATCACTGAGGTTTCAATTGTTGTGTTTATGAAGTCAATTAGATTTAAGAGATAAGCAAAAAAAAATAAACCAAAGCATTATCAGTTAATGTGATTAACATACTGTAAATTTATTTCAACTTTTTATCGTCACTGATTGAATTTGTATTTTATGTGCGCTCAGTCCCAAATATTTCTAAATGCACTGCTTCTGACAGAGCGTTGGAGCTTTAAATGTCCTACAAGGAACTTTTCATTTTCCTTGATTTTACTCTTTGGTCAAAAGCGGAAGTGTTTCCTCTGTCATCTGCCATAAAAACCTCAGTCCAGACTGTCTGCATATGTTTCGAAAGGAGTGAAAAAAAGACACACATGTATTGAGTTCAGGACACACACCAAGAAAACACTGTGACACCGCAACATGAAACAACTGCAACAGTTTACATTCTCTCACTGTCTTCCCCTTTCCTCTTATTTTGGCCAAATGGAACATCCCACCTGAGACAATACCAAGTCACTCAATGTATAGGGGCACACCATTACACACAACTGTTTGCAAGATGCATTGCGATGAGTTAATGTATCGTAATTCTTCTTCTGATCTCAATAGACATAGAAAAAGACAAATTTCTCCCTGATTGTCTCATTTGCTGTTGTAGATCATAAAGAGGCAGCAATATTAAAATAAGACAGTTTCATAACCAATGTCAATGCAGTGTATACAAAACGGTGAGTGTTTGAAAGAAAAGATACAAGTATCAGGTGAAGTGTGTAGAGGAAAACAATGCTGCTGGTGTGATTCAACAGGTTTCTATGAATGTTTTTACCCCAAAAACCATCTGATTTAATTAGAACTACAATGAACTCAAGCTGCAGTTTAGTTTTACACTCATCTTTTCGACCAAGATATTCAAAATATGAAGTTAAAATCTGACGGATCTCACTCAACTTAACATTAATATTAGAATAATTTTTCCAATATATATCCAGTTTGACTTTGGGTGTGTGCAAAGGTTTTTTTGTGTGAAACATCTGACAATCTCTTTAAAATACAGTCAAAGATATATATATAAGCACCTTTTTCTGTCAGTTCACTCAAATATATGAACCACAGTTGTATTATAATATATAAAACTCTCCTTTCTCCATGATTTTCATTTCAGTTATTCGTTTCTTTGATGTCTTTGTTTTCTTTTCTCCAAATATATATATATTCATGTTCTTGCTGAACCAGATAGTTGCAACATTTTTCATGTAGTGTCACTCTTGTCATCGTGACTGATCAGTGTACTATCATCACATGTCATCCTTCCTCCTCGAAACCCGAGGCTTTCTCATGAGCCTCACTTCTCCTTTGACCCCTGCGGTCGCCAGCTCCAGTTTGCCAGACTTAGCTACAGGCTGAATGCATACCAGTGAGGAGCGCATGAACCCGCTGAACCCCCAGGGGGCTCACAGGCCGCTGTGCAACACACATCACACACAGTGCCACTGCCTGTAGCTCCTCCAGCTTGGTTGAATGCTGTCTCTGTTGTTTAATGAGCCTGTTTCTGAGAGATTAAGCTGCATTCAAGTAAGGTTTGTTGGCAAAGGTGAGGAAGGAGAAACGTCACCGTGTTGACAGTCAATTTTCTCCCCCTCAAGTGATCGTTGTTTGTTTGGCGCTCAGAAGGCAAACACTTCCTGTGTTGGTGGCATCATTGTAAAGGGATTTATGGACATTGTATGGTCTGTGTCTCTGATGAATTATTGCAGAAGTGGATGATAATGTTGTATCAGGTGACACAGATGTCAGCACACTGCAGCTACACCACAAAAAGGATTAGTCCAAAGTATCAAGGGGCCCCTTGACCAGAGCTACTGTTTAAGGGGCTGTGGCGTTTCTAGCAGGAAAGTCAGTTTAACAAATGATCTCCATCTATATAAAATGGTCGGTATTTGTTTAGGTAGGTTTGTGCAGTTCAAAGTGCTTCACATATGGATGACAGACATGAGAAAAAATCAACAAGAGCAAAGAAAAGAGAATTAAAACAAGTAAACAATTTGAGTCTAATGCACACATTAAAATGTAAATAAAATTGTGTCAAGAGTGTAGAATAAGAACTAAATAAAGAAACTAAAAGAAAAGAAAAAGTTAATATTAAAAGTATTTAAATAATAATAAAAGAGCAAACTGTGAGTAGAGCCAACATACAGACACAAACAGCTATTTACTCAAGGCCCTTGGCTGTACAGTTTTGCCATTCATACAGTGCATCCATGTGTTGGAGTCCGACCCGCTGTTTAACCAAATATATATATTCATATTTTTGTTTAACCACAGCTACCCTTCCATCGATTTTGTATCTATAACGCTTATCCTTCTCCAAGGTCATGGGGAGTTAGCTGGAGCCAATCCCAGCGCCACGCCAAGTTGTGATTTGAACTAGGAACCATCTGTGAGGCCACAGTGCTAACAACTGTACCACCGTGCCAGTCCGACAGATATATAATCATGGGAAATGACGCAATGAATTGCAAAAAAAAAAAGAAAAGAAAATTTGTAGTTTCTGTGCATCTGAGTGTGGATATCTGACCCAAGCCCTTTGAGATCCGTTGGAACCCGACAGAACTGCTTGGAAATGCACATGCCTGTAATCAGGGAAAACTTCGGGCTTGGGTCAGGTTTGGACACAAAGAGACGAGAGCCTATCGGCTTTGTTCGTTTTCTCCCGGCCTTGGTCTGGTTCAGATAGAAAATTGTGGCTCCAGTTTCACTGGGCGTCTTGCTCCCGGTTTGGGGCCTTGTTGATGTCTGTGCCCTGAGGCTCGATCTTCTCACAGTCCGTCAATGAACAACACTGTACTCCAATGAGGGCAGTTAGCCACCACTCATCATTTCCAGAACATGGAAGGTTTTTTTTGTGTTTACACTGTAAACATACAGTTTTCCTTTAGTCTAATTTTACCTCAGGCCTGAAGTTATGGGACACAGTGCAGAGATCAGTCTCTCAGGACCATCAGAAACACCGGATACCATCTGTGGGAACATGAAGGAAGTGAATGCTGATGACATCTAAAATGGCCAACCAGCAGTTTTTTCTTTCTGTCCTTGAGGACAACAGAGGTCTCACTCAGGACTGACACTCCAGCAGGAATTAATCTATTGTGTCAGTCCTGAGACTTGGCTGACATCGAGGTAACATGGAGCTGGTTGAAACACTTAAGGAACGTTTTTTCTGCTTTTCCTCAGCTGGCTCTTTGCCCACCTAATTCATTAAGTTACCACAGGGCCGTGCACGAGCTCACCATTCACCAGTCAAGTCAATGGACAACAGAGGCTGTTCATTTGGCTGCATCGGTGGTTCTAGGAGCCAATTTTCAAATGCATAGCCCAACAAATTGAATGGGTGACAGGGTCAGGGTGGCAGCAGGATATTAGATGTGACAGAGCAATTTTATATATGTAGCAGAAAACAATAGACAGAAAGAAAAGAGGATTTTGATTGGTTTCCAGAGACTTTCAGTTTGTAAATGAGGCAGCGTTCCAGCTGGTAAAGTCAGAGTGAACTTACACTTCTCACTTGCACCTCACGTGAGATGTGTTTTCCTTCTCCAGCTCTCAACAGTGCGACGATACCAACAACAACAGCTCCGCCAGCTGTCTGCTTGCAATATTGCAACCCCCTGCACAGGTTGGTGAAATATCATATAAACTAAGAACAGGGAAATGTAACAGACGACTGCATCTCTTGATTGACAATTCATATTTGAAATTCTCCTAAGATCTCCCTGCTCACACTTTAATGAGTCATTAGTCCTGTAAAATTAAACAAATAAGAGTTTCTATTTACAAGCTCATACAAACAATCAATCAACTTTCAAACAAAGGGTGGGGGGAGTGGACTAGTAAGGCCTGGCAGTGGTGCAGGTGGTGCAGAGACTTGTGATTTAACAAAGTCCTTTATTTAAACCTTGGCTGTGTCACCCACTCACTATTCAATACTTCACTATATCGTGACTATTATGTAATATATATACTGAGCTCATCGCTGCTAATGATGTCATACAACAACAACTACATTGGCCATTGGAAAATCCCCACAGTGAATTTTAAATGTTTATTTTACTCTTAGTATTAATACTTTACGGAAAAAACAACAAATTGAATGATCATCAAATAAACTTGTTTCACGCTGTTTGTGCTGTGATGTGCTTTGATGTGCTGTTCTGCTTCTATCTATATTTATAAGACAGGTCGGCTGTTGCTGCTGCCCTCGCTTCTCTGACTTGTCTCTCCAATGCAAGCGCAATGCATGATGGTAGATGTTGCTCGGTCAGTGACAGACATATAGAAGGCAACAGTAAGTAGTCTGATAACCTCAATGTAGTACATAATTTAAAAAAATCCTGCACCTACATTTATTGGGTTCTTTCCAGGTTTCGTAATCTGCGTTGACCAACCAACTAATTAAGTGACACAGGGCACTAATGCGATTTCCATGAGCCCCAGTTGTATTAAGTGCCATTTAACAAATATTAGCATGCTAAAAATGCTAAACTAACACAGTGAACATGGTTAACAAACCTGCTTTCATCAGCATGCTAGCATTGTTACTGTGTGCATGTTAGCATGCTAACGTGGGTCTTGTTATACAGTCTATGGTCTTGTTACATAATTTAAGACTCAGGGAAGCTGCACTTTGTCCCTGCACTTTATGAGACATCTTTATTCTGCCAACAACAACATGAGATGTTTACTCTCAGAGTTTATTTACAGATCTCATCACTACGACAGAACATTTGATCTATTAATGTTAAAAAAGAAGAGAATGACACTATCGCTGTCTTATTTTATGAATCATTTTCTTCTTTAAATGACAAGTGTGGTGTGACACTGTGTGCAAAAATGTAAACTCAGTGCTTCATCCTGATGAGGGATCCTGCAATATGGCCCTAAATTCAACCGAGAACGTTTCACTTTTCAGGATAGCTGATGTGAATCTCACTGCCAAATCTTAATCTATATAAAAACAGCACCAGCAAGAAATGTCCAACACTGTCCAACACCAAAATGACGACTTTTTAAAGTTTAGTGTAATTGGCAACGCTTACAACATAAAATACAACATATCAGATTTTATAAGAGGTTGAGTGAAGATTTATCTATTTTGTGTTTTCAGTGCAACAACCTTTGTACCAGATGAACACACTAGTTCCCACATGAATAAATATTACACAATCAGGAACAAACAGACGATCAAATCTCAATAAAAAAGTGTAAATATCAAACATCCCATCATGAAACACATCAAAAGTCATAAGAGATATTAACATTGATACAAGTGATCTTATTTACAGCATTGATCAAAAGTCTTCAATGTTAACACGCTGCTAATAAGCATGAATATTTTACTTAAGAGTGCTATCTTTTGTGATATTTTGCCGAGAGAATAGTTCTGGCTTGTTATTTTTTCACTTTTGTCAGCAGCATTATCTACTCACAGACATACATGTAAATGTGAGCCTTGTTTTTGCTATCAGGCGTCCACAAAATCATCCGGTTTTAACGATAAACAGCCTGAGGGCTGTGGTTCAGACAAGCAGACTCAGTTCTAGAGTTAAAAGTCGATGCAGCACATGACAACTGAGGACAAAGCTGAGGAGATTCACACGTGGTGTTTCTACAGTAACTACTATAATAATAATTATAAAGAGTGAGATAACTTTTCTTCAGTGTGAGAACACATGAAACCTTTAAACCTTTGCCAGTGGTTTATGATTCCAGCATTGTGTCATAAAGTGCAATAAAAGCACCATATATTAACATTCAGCTGTGATTAATATCTGGATTGTATTGCAAACAATACATATTGAACCTGATACAGTCAGCAGCGAATAAAACAATAACTGCGGCCAAGCCGTAAACTGCTGCTGCGCTCTCTGACCTCATGTCCAAAGGGCAAGCAAGAATCCAGCGGTGCAGAAAAAACAGAGTGCGTCTGTGTTACTGCTGAAAGTGACAAGTCTAAACACAGCCATGGCAGTGAATGAGGAATGGGAGAAGCCTGTGGAGAGGAGAGGGGTAAGTAACAGTACAGATGTGATTATCAACAATGTGCTTTCTCTGATCCATGACGCTGTACAAACTGATGTCGCCCAACAGAGGTTGACTGCAGTCCTGGTCCTGGCAACTCTCATATCTGCATTCGGTTCATCCTTTCAGTACGGATATAATGTGGCTGTGATCAACTCTCCTTCACCGGTAGGTGAAGAAACTGAGGCTTTACTGCAACATGTTTCTTCTACTTTAAGGTCAGGTTTGGTGATGTGTTTCTATGTGTGTTGTTCTCTTCAGTTCATGCAGCAGTTCTATAACACCACCTACCTAGAGCGATATGGGAGAGCGATGGAGGAGAACTTCTTGACTCTGCTGTGGTCTCTGTCTGTGTCCATGTACCCACTGGGAGGTTTCTTCGGCTCTCTGATGGTGGCTCCTCTGGTCAACAAACTAGGGAGGTAATGCACAATGTTTTTCCCATCTAAGAGTTGTTTATCATTCACGATAAAAAAATAAATGGTATTGTTGTTGATCTGATATGATATCACATGCACTGATCCTGCAACAGGAAGGGCACCCTCCTCTTCAACAACATCTTCTCCATCGTCCCTGCCGTGATGATGGGAGTCAGTGAGATTGCCAAGTCTTATGAGATCATCATTGTGGCTAGATTCATCGTAGGCATCTGTGCAGGTCAGCTACTGTGTTTTCAGTTATGCAATTCTTCTGCATGGAAACGAGGAATTTGTTTGATTTTATTCATTCCATCATTTCCTGTCTGCAGGTCTGTCGTCCAATGTGGTGCCCATGTATCTGGGTGAACTCTCTCCTAAAAACCTGAGGGGAGCTCTTGGCATCATACCACAGCTCTTCATCACCATTGGCATCCTCAGCGCACAAGTGCTCGGCATCAGAAACATACTGGGCAACAGCACAGGTACTGGCTGCCATAGTGGTGGATGTTATTCTCTCCAAGGTTGTGTTTTCATCCCTCTCTGTTTGTTTGTTTGTTTGTTTGTTTGTTGTTTGGTCGGTGTGTTTATGAACACGATTATACAAAAAGAACAGGATTTTTCACAAAACTTGTTGGAAGGATGTGTTACAGGTCAAGAAAGAAGCCATACGATTTTGGTGCAGATCCAGGAATTCTTTTTCGCTAACTTTAATATTGCGAGACAGTGTGCTTCTCAACATTTCCAGTTTTCCCAGGGAATAATCCATGAATCAGATGAAAACAATCAGGCACATTCAGATGTTTGATATGTGTGTTTACAATTTGGTTCAGCTAGATTGAATTCAAGGGGACTGTTGGGTCTTGGAGGACATGCTTGTGTTGGACTGAATGCCATTTTTTACTGGTTTGTTTGTAACTACTGAACCGATTACCATGAAACTTGTTGGAAGGATGTTAGGTCAGGGAAAACCCTATGAAATTTTGGTGTGGTTTCAGACCAGGCAGCTGATCCAGAAAGGTTTTTTCACCATCTCCAACACTGCAAGATTAAATTACAAGTCTACAATTTCCTTGATTTCTCTGAGACTATTTCATGGATCACATTTAGGGCTCTGATATTTATGTTTGCAATTTGGTGGAGTTCCAAATAAAAATCCAGATCTAGTACATTTAAAATTTGCTAGCCCAACAGTCCATACAGGGCCTTGTGACATTCTTGTTCATACTTTGAGGTGAGATGTTGTAGAAGTACATCCTTAAGAGCTGATTACATAGATGCAGGAGAGATGTTTGGTTTGGTCCACAGGTTACATACAATAAGTGTCTCTGTTCCCTGTTTCCAGGTTGGCCCCTCATGCTGGGTCTGACTGGTATTCCTGCCCTGATAGAGCTCCTGTTTCTACCCTTCTCCCCAGAGAGCCCCAGGTACATGCTCATCCAAAGGGGAGATGAGAAGACAGCAAAGAAAGGTGAGAAAACGCATTGGTTAAGAAACAGAGATACAAGCTGGTAATTAAAAACTATAATCCAGGATGTTTTTACGTCTTAGCGCTGCAGCGTCTGCGCGGCTGGGACAATGTGGACGCCGAGCTGTCCGAGATGCATCTGGAGGACCAGTCGGAGAAGGCTGAGGGCCGCCTGTCCGTGCTCTCCCTGCTGTCCCAGCGCTCTCTTCGCTGGCAGCTGGTCTCCATCATCGTCATGAACATGGGCCAGCAGCTGTCAGGGGTCAATGCGGTGAGACTCTCCTGTCCGGCTTACGTCATTGTCTCTAACCCACTGATGGACACACTACCTCTGTTACAGATTCAACACCAGATCTGTGTGACATTCAAACAACATGTTAAAAAAGTTCAAAGTCATTTCCCACCTGCAGTGCATGCCTCCTCCTCATATTTCTCTCAGTTCTCCAGCTCTTTAAAGGTTTATTTCACCCCAAAAGTAATTAGATGGATGGGTGGTTGAAGTGTTTGAGTCCATAAAACACTTTTGGAGTTTCAGGGGTAAACAGCATTGCAGCCAAATTCAGGGGATTTGGCTGCAATGCTGGGGACTCCTTCCTCAAACGTGAAAAAAACAACAGAATATAAACATTAAATGCCTCTATACTGCTCCTGTGGTGCCAATGAGGCCGTTTACAGTTAAATAAATTTAAATGTTGGGGCTTAGAGACACTTGGATGACACCACAGGAGCAGTATGGTGGCATATAATGTTTTTTTATGGAGTTTTCTTTATGTTTCAAGAAGGGCTCCCTATTTACTACAATTGTTTTGGATCTGGCTTCAACGCTGTTTATCCCTGAAACTCCAAAAGTGTTTTGTGCACTCAAACACTTCACCCTACCCCTCGACCGGCATAGTGGTGAGTAGATAACGAGTGAATTTTCATTCCCTTATACTGTCATGCATTTATCTCTCCCCCCCCCAGATCTACTATTACGCAGACAGCATTTACGCCACTGCAGGAGTCAAGCAGAATGACATCCAGTACGTCACCGTGGGAACCGGGGCTGTGAATGTCTTCATGACCATCGCTGCTGTAGGTGCCCAGTTCATTCAAAGTTTGAAGAGCATCTGTGGAGGAGGAGGTTGAGTCCGAAGTCTGATATTTGATCACATCAGCATGATATGATTTGTTTTCTTTCCCCAGGTCTTCATCGTGGAGGCCTCAGGGCGACGGCTGCTCCTCCTCTGTGGATTTGGGATCTGCTGTGGAGCCTGTGTGCTGCTCACTGTTGCTCTCAAACTCCAGGTACCACAGCTGCTTCAACACGTTACTGTGCTGCCATCTGGTGGTTCTGAGTACAAAAGCATAGTCTGTTGTGTTAGATTTTCTCAATCATGAGGTCAGGAGATTTGTTGTGTGGACTAAGTCACGGACAGATTTATTCCATGTGTATTTATTGAAATATTGATTGCTACAGTGAATAAGTTGGGACTATATAATTTAGTCTGTAAGTCGAAGCAAAGAATTTAAATGAAATAATAATTACTCACTTTTACATAATATTTTTATACAGGCATAGAAACTGTAGCTGTATTTTACATGATACCATCATTTAAGGACCCAAATGTTAATTATAAAAGTAAATTTTAAAAAGTAATAGTATGCATCCCATAGATGACCAAGTCGGTTTGTACAATGCAATCTTCACTTCTTGCCTCTTTCAAAGATGTTCTGCGTTTAGTTTAATCTTCAAAGCATCAAGTGATCAGCATGAGCTCATATACTGAGGTCATATGACTCAATAACACTCCAGGCCCCTCCTCCTGATTGTTATCTGGGTTTCGGATAATTATTCTGCTGCACTGTCCTAATATTTAGGGTGAGGTCATGATGTCCCACTGTGTTCACTCAATATGGATGATGACACCATCAATCAGGGGGTTGAACATTTAGTCGTATTTGTTAGTTTGGTGTTTGCTACTTCTACCTTTTGTAATTTGGTTGTGTAACAGTTTGGTAAGACAGGGTGCGGACTGAGAAGCACATCTCACAGGAGGAAGTTTATTCTGTCAAAAAAGATTTGTCAAAAACAAAACAGATCTGCAACAGCAAGGACAGGGAGGGTGTGGTCTAATATTATGTAACTGATGCAATAGAGGAATAGACAATGAAGAACACTAGTATGACTAGTGCTGAATTCACAGGATAAACTGGAAATGTATATTGCATAATATCCTGGCTGTAGGACAATAACAATGTTGTGCACTGACTTTGCTTTAGTTGAATTTAAAGTCTTTTGATGATACGAAACATCAGCAGACTGGTTTTCAAGCACTTTAAGTCTATTAAGAGTCAGGTTGGATAAACTGAAGATGCATACATGTCCAAAACTAGCTATTGCAAAATCTCTGATGGCATGAATGCCACACACACTGTTCAGAAGCAGTTAATAATAATAATAATCATAATAATTATACATTTTATTTACACAGCACCTTTCATACATAAAATGCAGCTCAAATTACTTTACATTCAAGACATGAATTAAGATAGACCAATAACAACATGTTAGCAATAAAACAAAGACTTAGGATAAAAGTATAAAATTAGCAAAAGAAGTAAAAAATAAAGACAATGGTGTTAAAAAAAAGGATAAGATTAATTAAAAGCAAGATCATAGAAATAGTTCTAGAGTTGTTTCTTAGAAACTATCAACAGAAATATCTGACGTGTGGTGGGAGTTTGTTTCAAACCTGAGGTGCATAACAACAGAAAGTTGCTTCCCCAAACTTTTTGGAGTTTATTTTTGGGACAAGCCTGGAGCCGATCAATGGATTTTCTCGGTAATCCTGAATAAAGTGCATTGCAGTGGTCCAGGCGAGAAAGTAGGGAGTGAAGTGAAAAGATTAGGAACAAAAAAATATAAATTTGAGTTATCTGTTATAGAATACAAAAAAAGGCTTTATTCTCATTTCACAGGGGAAAGTGAAACAGCAGCAAAGTTACTTCTGAGAAACAGTGTAAATTTAAAAAAACATGTTTATATTCCAACAAAAGACACAAACCAATCAATTCATAATCATTAAATGCAAGACTGATTAATACTATTTGTTATTTTACAGAATGGATATTGTACTAAAACAATATGATTATGTATGTCAGCATATAATTTATATTAATTTGTAGGGTTTACAGTTTTGATGGTCCAGTGCAGAGAGCTAAGAGTCACGGCATCAGTGCACACAGCCGTCATTGTAAACCAGAGGCCGCCCTCTAAAGCTTAGAGTCAACAATTTTAACCTCATGGTCACTGTGTCCGTCATTTCCAGGGAACTGAAACACAGCGTCACTGTGCTATAATGGATGGACACTTTGCTTTAATTTTAACTTAGCGCTAAGTCAGCAAAATAAAATGACAACTCGACATCTCTTTGAGTGATGGGCTCATGAGAAATGTGAGACTTAAACACACTCACTGATCACTAAAGTGACCATTAGACAAAACCACAAAAACACTGTTGCCCTCCTGAAACCCTGTGATCTCACCTGCAACATTTTCACTCAGACACTACTTTCAGCAACAGTTTAAAAAGACAAACAGAGATCAGAAGTTTAACCATCCACCGACATCAACTCCCACGAAGGGACATTGTTGTGTATGTGTTCCTGTTTGAAAGCATCATTGGTTCATGATAACAGCAGCTGCTGGTTTGTGTTGGCAGGAGAGCATGACGTGGATGCCGTACATCAGCATCTCCTGTGTCATCATTTACGTCATAGGCCACGCCATAGGACCCAGTGAGTCTGACCCCGCCGGTGGTTATTTACACACACAATGATTAAAGCAGGCCCCTCCATTAGCTGAAGTGTTGTTTGGACGTGAGCAGACATGATGTAAATCTACACTCACTTATCTGAGACATGACCATCCTCTGCAGTGACCCAGAGGAGTGGCCGAGCGTCTTGACTGTTTTGGTTTTGTAGTTGACCGCACGTGTGCATCCACAGGCCCCATTCCTTATGTGGTGACTACTGAGATGTTCAGGCAATCAGCCAGGCCAGCTGCCTTCATGGTCGCAGGATCCGTCCACTGGCTCTCCAACTTCACTGTCGGCCTCGTCTTCCCCTTCCTAGAGGTCTGTTGCACAATTTCCAAGAAGTCATACACTGAAGCAGCAATGATTTATTATTTCAAAATGTAATTGCAGTTGTTTTTAAGTGCAATCAGCAGCTAAATTACTCCACATCCTTCTTGTAATGTGACCATTTCAAACAACTTCACTTCACCATGAGCTGTTTTCATACCATCTTATATAAAGAGATAAACATAAACATAACCTTGTCACTTATTTACTTCTTCTCGAGTTTTCATCTCCAGACCACAGAACAAATAACGCAGGAAAGGGTCTTAGTTTCTGCCTCCGAGCAACAGAGACCAAAACAGAGCATTCCAATATAAGTAGTCTGCGACTCCAGGTCACCTCAGCTCACCTCACTTCTGCCGATCATGTCCGGCCAGCTGTCTCTGGTCAAAACGGTCTCACCAGGTCATACATTTCTAATTTTAATTCAAAATCTTTTGTTGAAGGTTTTGATTCAACTGCAGGATGATTTTGGAGGATGTAGTTTGTGTTGCTGTTGAACTGTTCGTCATACAGAGAGGTGCAAATGTTGTACTGTTGTCTACCTTCATGGATAAGAACAGGGTGGACAAATAATGGAAACACTTGACCGCACAACAAACTGCAGCCTCCAAAGCGACCATTCAGTCGAATCCACACCTCTGTGAAACAGTTAATTCACAACATGAATTAGAAGAGCACTCAGTAAAAAGTATACCTCCGCCAAGGCCCAACAGTCCACTAATGAAACCCCATTTTAATTAGTAGAATTGTATTTACATCCTCTGCCCTTAACCCTCAACAAGAGTAAGAAAAACTGTCAAAAAAACTTTTTACGGGGGAAAACCCTCAGAGAGAGCTGCAAGTAAGGGATCCCTCTCCAAGGCAGACAGAAGTGCAATAGATGTCATGTGTAAGCATCAACAAAAGAACAATATAATATGGGAAAGTCTAACATAAATGGAGAGGTGAGGTGTATCAGTGTAAAAAGTACTTTTGTACAAAAAAGGTTGTGTATATGGGCAGGCATAGTGTTATAAAAGCAAACCAGCTGATGTTAAAGGATCGCAGCTGCCACCATGGTCTGCAGCTGCGATCCTTTAACATCTGAATTCACTAGATCCAGATTTTGATTTGGACCCAAACTCACACACTCAAAAACATCAGTCCCCTAAATATGCCTGTTTTATTTTCTTCAAGAGCCAAGCATTATCCTCAAAATCAAGAAAAGTGAATCAAGGAAAATGTACTATCTCACAACATTAAAGACAGTGAAGAAGAAATCCCTTGATCTGCCCTCTGATCTGGATCCACACCAAAATGTAATGTGTTCTTCCCTGACACATACCGCTGCCTTGTGTTATGGAAAAACAAAAACTAAATGCTCAAGAAAACAACATTCCTGCAGGAGGATTCATTGCAGGGCTGTTGTATCAGACCACATTAGTTTCAGCTCATTGCACCTAAAGAACTGCCTGCTATCATTCATCTTGACCACATGCTGATCACACTTCCTCTCCTTCTCCCTCCAGAGAGGCCTGGGCCCTTACAGCTTCATCATTTTCTCCTTCATCTGTCTGGTCACGCTGATCTACATCTGGCTTGTGGTCCCGGAAACCAAGAGCAAGACCTTCTTGGAGATCTGCCAGATGTTTGCCAGGAGAAACAAAGTGGAGATTAAGGTGGGCGATGGAGAGCTGGCACTGAAAGAGAGCAAAGACAGCCTGGTGGATGCCGTGAAGGTCACGGCGTTCTGAAGACGAATGAGCGCATTCAGATGACAGGAAATCTGCGCTCTGGGTCGTGACTGTTTATTACACAGTCTCTTATTGTATAGTTTGCTTGTACCTGCTGTGAAAAGACAACAAGGACATCTGTGCATTTCAATGCAGGCTGTGTACTCATGCTTGCAGCTGTACAGAGGTGTGCATGAGTCATTAAACAAACCAACAAATCACCATTAGCCTTTATTGATGTAAATACAACACACAGCTGAAGATATAGAAATATAGTTTGCATAAATATTGATTTACAGGTGACTGAAAGACATTTATTTTTCATCACATGTATATTTTACGACCATGAAAAATTCTCGCCATCTGCAGTAGTACTCTGGTTTAATGCATGTCAAAGCTCATACAGACAGAAGCAGGTGAAGCTCTTCAGACACATCTGTAGTGACTGTCCAGCTGCACCCCTCCATACAGACTAAGTTCGGTGGTTCCCCAGCTGAACACGTTTCCCACCACCGTGCTGTTCCTCTCACACGACATCTGGTCCCGGATATTTGCTGTGGTCAGTACATAGTCCCACACGTTGACGTCGGTCATCTTACCCACAAAGGCGTCTGCGTTTGAGATGCCCAGTAATCCATCCTGGTCTTTGCCCAGGATGAACACGCCACCCGGGCTCATGGTGTAACCGCTTTTCAGGTACCGCTGCTCCCCCACCATGCCATTGATCCATAGCCTGGCCCCGCCCGTATTGGTCGACCATGTGATGCAGTAGTTGGACCAGTCGTGAGACTTGAAATTGTGCGGCAGGTTGACAAACTCGTTGCCGATCCAGAGACCCACCTCTCTCGCTTCTCTGTCTTCACCGATGGAGATCATCAGCTCGTTATCATTGCCGTTGCTGGAGTAGGAGAGGACGGTGTGGATGCCTTGGCCCTGTGGCAGGACGTGCATGCAGACGGTGAAGGCGTGGAGGTCCATAGGCTGACTGAGGCGAGCAAAAGCATAACTGCCAAAGTTATTCTCATGGAAGTTGAGTACCAGAGGAAACAGAGCACGATGTTCTAAGGAAAGACAGAAAATTCTGAATCAGACTGGAGAGCGAGAAAATAAATCCACCTTTGAACATATTCAGTCAGGATGAAAACAAAGCCCTTACCAAATTTAGTAGGTTTTGCGTTGTGGTGTCCACCTAAAGGAAATATGTAAGAAAAAGACTTAAAAAGACAGAAACTGAAAACTGTAAGCATTAATTTTGCATTTAGCCATTTTAAGAGCTCACTTACCAGTGTGCATGTGCTTCCCAAGAGAAGTTATCAGACCCTCGATCTTCAGCAGCCTGGACTCAATCTCATCTTGCCGACAAAATGCTAAAAAACAGAAGGTAAGAGAAAATGACATGGTTGAAACTCAGGCCTTAGTGATGGGCCACATAAATTCTGAGCAATAAATGATAATTCTCTGTTGTGTAATCACTCTGTTGTACATGGTACATACTTCCTTTTCCAAGGCGTGGGAGGAAAGAGGACTCTACCACACGGTCGTTGAGAGGCTGAGCGATGCGGTAATCATTCCACAAGGTCTTGTTGTCCATGTCCATCAGCGTACTCTCCAGTTTCCTGATCTGAGCACAACAGACAGGAAAAGAAACACTAGATATAATATTCAAGAAGCATGTTAAGAGTCTGGTTTCAAACACAACCAAAATGTTGCAAGTTTCCCTCTTCCCTCTTTTTTTTTTTTTACAGACACCGCCCTCTGTGTGTCCGTACCTGGTTATGTGAAAGCGTGATGGGCGTGTCAAACACAGTCCAGAGGATGCTCTCGTAGCAGGGCGGAGTGGTTAGCGAGCCCTGGTATCTGAAGAAATGGTTGAGGTTCTCAGGCAGCATCGAGCGCACATCAATACTCGATATGTTCATGGACTGGCCTGTCGGGGGAAAACAAGAGTCGCATCATCTATAATTCAAGCTCAGTTAAAGATATAATATGTAACAATTCTTCATTAAAATGTCTGAAAACAACAAGACCTACTTTGTATATATATATATATATATATATTAAGCACTGATGTGGCGCATTTTATTTGTCAAAGTAGTTTCGCAATTTTGTGCTTCTCTTGTATACATGCACATGTGCAATGTTTGGAAAATCACTTTGCACATGTTTGTTAGACCCCCGGGATACAGAAGAAAACTCGTTAGGGCCCCTTGAGCCCTTTTGGTGTAGAACTAACTCACCTGCATACTTGATTCTGGCCAGGTTGGAGATAAAATCGCTGTAGTAAGTGTTCTCAAAATGACCGTCCTGGAAATAAAAGAAAGTTATGTCAGACTTAAAGCTTAATTTACCTGGAACCCTAAACATAGCTTGTAGCTTTAAAGGATTATTCTGCTTCATTGAGTAACTTGTTGACAGAAGTTTGTCCATTGTTTCTATGTGTAATTGATGAGTGGCAAAGGTTCAGCTATAGATTATGTGAACCACTGTTTTTGGACGTAAATACCAAAAGTGAGCACACACTAGATATTGTAAAATTGTTATGTGCAGTTAACTTGAATACAGTCTTATTTTTAACAATGAGAGTGTTGAGATGAACATCCACCCAACTACCCAATCTATAATATATTTATTGTTTATATAGAATCTGTCTATAACTCTGTGCTTCACTCTCAGCAGATGCTGGCCATGAAATCACTGCAGCAATGAAGACTGCTGACTGCCTGACATCCAGAGCGTTCCTCTGAAAGCAAGCACTCATTCAATCTGTCGACGTGCAGCTGAATTCTCAACAGAGCTTTTAACGAAGCATATTCCGAAGTTCCCGATAGAAGAACTGATGATCGTATATCTGAAATAGTGCTGGCATTCTGGGTAGAAACGACTGAGTGACAGCGTTTATGGCTTACGTACATCATAGAAAAAGGCGAGCACTGCCAGCCCATCTGGTTTATCTCTGGCTTCTTTGAAGCTCTTGTACTTGTCAGAGTTGTAATGGACAACATGGAGCTGGAAAACAAAGCACAACAGATTAGATGCCATAATGTGCCCAAATTACCTTCTGTGCAAATGCCAACCTGTTCATGAAGAAGCATCTATAAACAAATGATATATTTTAAATGTAATAAATTCTCAAGTAAAAAATCAAGCTGATTAATAGAAAAAAGAAAAATGGCAGAAAAATACTCAGTAGCGGACAAATAAAACTGCATCTAGGTGGCTCAGAAAAAGAATCGATAACCATCTTAAAATATTATAAAAGGTAGATTCAACTTCCTTTTTAACAAAACACATACTTCCGTGATCTGTTTCCCTGATTGATTGTGTAATGACTTCTGTGTAAAAATGTGGTTTTTCTTGTTTAGTTGTGACTCATGTTCACTTAAGCTTAACATGTCAGTACATACAAACTGCATGTGTCTGATTGATTCCAGGCTTTAATGTAAAGAGGAAGTCTTCTCTATAAAGCCAACCTCTGCCATGTAACGGATTCCATCAATGGTGTGCTCGGCTCCGCTGGCCTCCAGGTCCCAGCCGCCCCAATGCAGGTGCATCTGGACTGCTGTGTATTTGCCCGGGAGGCCTTTGGTGATCATCATGGTGGGAGGGAGGTCGATTTGAACTGAAGGAAACGTAAAGATATTGAGATGTTTCCTCAGAGAAAACAAATTACAAACTTTATACTTAACTTTTTTTCTTCCAGGCAGTCATATACATTTCAATATATTCCCATTACACGATAATCAGATGGCTGACTTTATAAACTTGATTTTTACCTCCCCTCCTCCGTCATCTGTTTGTTTGCTTGAGTTGCACAAAAACGGATTAGATGGATTACCACAAAACTTTTTTTTACATTTTCAAAGATTTCCCGTGGAGTCTGTGGAATGTGAAATTCTACAACATGCACTGGAAACTTGTCAGTGGTACTTTGACGACAGATTTTTAAGATAAGATAAGACAAAGGCTTCATCCAAAGCTTACATGTCTATTATGTCTGTCTTACCTGAGTGGCCGTTGTTGGACATGAGGAAAGTCCCTTTCTTAGCATCGTACCCGTTCAGCTCCAGCTGTAACATGTCCGGGTTGTGTCTGACGCTGCGCCGCTGGATGTCGATGGGGGACTGCTTCTTTCCTCCACACGCGGGGTACTTGGTTGGCCATTGCATCTGGTCCAAACCTCCCTCTGGAACAAGAGGCAAATAATGAAACTAAAACGATTATCACGTTGTAGAAATGTACCTGGAGTGTTGACTATGATACATGTCGGAGTATTTGGCACATGTTGGCACATTGAAGAGTACAATTAGTTTGTTGGTTAGGCTGGCATGCGCAGAACTCTTTCAGCTTGATATTCTTGCAGCTGATGTGTATTTTCCTATAGTAATCTGCAGCACACTCCTTATAGTTGGCTTTACAAGCTCTTAATGTAACCAAAGCCTGACTTTGTCTATCCAGGTATTTGGCACAAGCATTGCGCGTCGCCCAGAGGACCCAGGAGCCAAATGGCTCGCTTAAATGTCGACTAATTATAATCACAATCACGTCTAAAAATAACCTGAGAAAAAATTGGAAGAAGTGCATCTCATCATGCGTCTTTGTCTTGTTTGTGTCTTGTGCCAAAACAAATACGCATTGGAGAGGTTGCCGCGCAACTTTTCCATCCGGCGCATTATGTTGGATCACTTTCAGTGATTCTTTGTCGTAAAACGTGTGTTTGAAAAAAAAAATCTGATAATCAAGACAGCCTACCTGTGTATGTCCAGTGTATTCCATCGTGAGGAATCCCAGCACTGACAACACAGACCAAAACAGCGGAGACGAACGCAGAGAGAAACTCCATCGCTGCTGCTGCTGTGGTCTCTCAGTTCCCTCTCACAGGACACTGACACCTCTCACAGGCTCCCTCTCTGGATTTAAAGAGCCTGCAGTGAAGGGAGGTGTTCAAGCCTGAAAACGCCCAGAGCTCTTCCCAGCAGCCCCAAAGTGCCAGGGAGAAAAAAAGACTCTTACTGTATCTGACAGTCTGAGATGTATTGTTAGAGAAAATAAAATTCGTTGAGTGAAGGTTTTTCTGCTCTAAGCAGGTATTAATGTCAGGTCCAGAATGTATCATTGATTTCTACTGGAGGAAAAAAGTTTCAGTCAATACTGTATGTGTGTGTGTGTCTGTAGATGTAAAGGATCTTGTGGCTTTTCTTTTGCTTAGCCAGTCCTTCTCTAT